TCTTTTTAACTTTTGCCCTTTTCGCGGTATGGTTGTGTACAAATGACTGGACTGATTTTGTGTTTAGCGCGCATATGGGTTTATACCGCACGCGTGCTGGAACGCGCGCGGGTAAACAGGAGGAGAACTCTCCCATTAATCAGCTCACTCGAGCACGTTTTATTCATGCCTCTCCCCGCTACTAAATCTCTCGTTTTCCCTCTTTCTTCTCTTTGCACCTCTCGACGAGCCGTCTGTTTTCATTACATTTTTATAATCACATTAAATGTATTCGCGTGTGCATATTGTGTGTGTGTTTGTGTGAGTGTATGAGTGTACATATACTGTATAATTTGCGCATGCATTAACTACGCTATTTAATCCAAATTCAATTCTGCACATTGAAACGAATGTAATACGTCAAAAACACTTGCTGTACATGGTCTCCATCAAATTATATGTGACAATTATTAGATAATGTACACTTCAATAACGGTGTACAATTTTGTGTACACTTTCTTCATTTAATTATCAAAAAAACAATCATTTTCCATACTAATTCATCTTATTTTAATGATTTAGAATGCTTTCACGCAGTTTATTGTTCATGATTTGAATTCTACTAACAAGAAAAAATTGGTATTATTACGATTTCTAAAAACCCTTTCAAAAAATATTGGTTAACTATATTATAAACTTAACTACAAATATCATGTGGAAACCGAAAACCTGCTTAGAAAAAAATAGTTTGAAGTTTCGTCTTGTACAGTTTTCGTCGTATAATAATTATATCATATATTTTTATTTTTTTTATTTTTTTTTTATAAGAACATCATGAAATATAAAAGGATACACAAATACGTAATTAAATACTGTTAATTAAAATAAAAATATGAATATTTATAAATAAATATTAATTAATTTAACTCTCTACCAAATAAATACATTTAATAGATCTTGAGAAATTATGTAATTTTCGACTGATGTAATATATTATTAATAGTAATCATTAATTTTTAGTATACACATCTGTACATGTGCGTAAATTAATAACTGTAATTATCGCTTCAAGCACTAGGCCAGGGGTGCATTATATATGTTTCAATTCTTCCAAAATCTAAAAGATGTAAGTATTTTTCTCGTAAACCACTTTTGAGAGATCCCTGTTATCTAGAGATATATTATAAATGAAAAAAGAAATATTGTTATATGTACAACGTAAAAAAAAATGATTAATGACCATAACAGTATATTATATACCCGGTTAAAAAGACCCAAGGTACGAAACAAATGGACACTGCCAACGTCGCCACTTGGTCGTTGAAAAGTCTATAAATACAACAAAAAAAAATATTAATTTTTTTTTTTTTATAGTTATGCTGTATATTGATCTTTTATTTCATGGCGTGAAATTCCACACGCCGTTCAAGATTAAATAAAAAACAAAATGTTCCACAACGCAGTTACGGCGCAATATATTCGAAAACAATTTTTGAAATATTACGATGAATAATAAATCATTTAGTGTTTTCGATGTAACTAAATGAAATCAATTTGTCCGGTCGTTAAAAAGATTATTCGGTATTCGATTTGCGGAAAAATGACTAAACGCAACACGATATTAGGTAATACTATATTGTTAATTATTAACACATTTAAATGACACATTGTGTAATATTGCGGGTGTTTAATATGGGTAATTTATCCGATCGGTTGTTCTAATCGATAATCAGCGCAATGTTACAGTTTATCATGCGGACTTACTGTTAGATTTTTGGTTAGCATTTAGTCGATGCATCTCGTGTCAACTCGTGTCATTATAATACAATCAACGTCTACCGCTGATATCGCATTTAATCGTAGCCTTGACAGATGAATATTATTATAATACCATATTGCAGACGATTCAAAACCGAAAGATCCGAATACTGTAAATCCTTTTCAAAAACTATAATACACGCACACGTCTTTGTTACAACCTTCTCGCTGGTGAGGTGTGACAGGGTAAATCTCTGAAGAGAGTTGATGTAACAAACTAGGTAATTGGATTTGAAAAAACCGCGTAATACGTGGACTTTTGGAAAACCCTTAAAATCCGGCTTAACAAGGCTAGTCTGACCGTTTCACCCGGACTGGGAGCAGGCATGCAGATTATGGAGGCCGTTTCAAAAATAATGGACCTGCCTGGATTGAGAATAAGCACTTTGGCCAATTTCCAACAATAGATTTGTGTATAACTAAAGTGAGTTTTTCGAAAAAATAGAAAAAGCTACTCGATTGCGTGACGAAGATCTTCGCTAGGGGTACATGTACAGTTGTAAAATGCAATATATTTTCGACGAAGAATATTCTCGTTCATTGATTTGTTCATCAATACGAATACGCAAGGCCGGTAGTACGCGAACAATATTTCTTTGGCGTCAGCTATTGGCAATAGTTTTACGTCCATTTATCACATGGATTTATTTTGTTATATTAGTCGCCCAGTTTATCTTTTCGGATTTAATTGTCTAACAATAAAAAAGAATTGAACACTAATTAAACTATAAATCATAATATGTCTACGTTGTTCATTATCCAATTTATTGTGATTAGCTTTATTGGAATTAATTTTGATTAGATTTATTGTATTTATATTTTTGTTATTATCAATCGTAATTCAAATAGAACACAATAAAAATCAATGCTCATTATTATTACATAAACTCTATTTAAAACAACTTTTATCCTCCATTGGATATCGCTTTAACAGTACCTAAGTTATGGTTTGTTGGTGTGAATATTTATAGGGTAAATTTATCTTAATGTTAACGTTTCAAACCGAGCACTCAATAATCAAATTAAATTTGAATTGTTTACAATTTTATTTATTTTAATTGAAAATACAAAACCATAATATCTTTTTTTAATAAAACTTATTTAAGAGTCTCATAATCACAATGAATTATATTAAATAAATTATTAAATAATAATAATAATAATAATAATAATAATAATATAGGTCACTATAACAATTACATCGTTGATTAACTTTTCAATATTTTATCTTAGCATACTTAAATATATATACATATATACTAATGATTTATTGTTCCACAATACAACAGTGGAAATATTAATTAATTTCACAAATATATCGAATGTTTACATGTTCACAAAATATGTGTTTAAATTCAAAATTTGCAATATTATAGTTAAAACGATTTATCTATTGAAAAACAATTAATTTTCTTATGCTAACAATATTTATGTATTATATATGTATATTTAATATAAATTCCTATTTATTCATTTCGGTACCCTAATATTTACATAAAATCACATGGATAAATATTTAAATCAGTCACATCGATTCTAAAGTTTTTTTTTTTGCTTTTTACTATTATAAAACATACATAAACTAATGCGATACCTTCTATGTCCATATTATGTGACCAAAATATGTAAATTTACATGATGGAGTGAATTGATCCTACGGTTCCTTTTTCTACTGCGTAATAACTTTTATACGCGACATTTTAGATTCGAGTGAAGTGAGGAAAATAGTGATTTTATAATGACGCAATTTTTTTTTATTTGTGTCCCAAACCTAATATATAAAATGCGGTTTACAATTGCAATGTTGTTATCTGACAAATAATTAATTAATGTATCGTACATACTACAAAAATATTGGCAATACTAGAATAAATTGAAAATATAAACATAGAAAAATATAAATAAATCGACCAAATTTATAAACGTACTACACTCTCATAGTTTTAATATAGTAATTATCCCACTGAAAAAAGCTAGAAGATTAAGTTTTTAAATGATATTGCGATAATATAATTATAGTAACAAAACATTTATGAAAATATATAGTTTGAAATATTATATTTTTGAATATACAAAATTAAATGTACAGGATGAGCTTTCCCGTTTTTTTCATTTTCCCGTTGTATAATACGGCGACAAAAGGCAAACCACTGTGAACCATGTAGTGTACTCGAATGCGTTTAATCTTATTAAGTGTATCGTAGAAATAAAATCCCTCCTAAGGGAATAAAATATAATAGTTACATAAAATGGTAACAACAATTGCGCAAAATTTATTTTTTTCCATTAATGCATTGCCATTTATAATAATAATTACACGTGCGATGAAATATGAAAATGATTTTTCGTACGAATAAATAGAAATTTACTTTAATGATTCGATTGTGTGCATTTCATATTATTTGTGTCATGTGAAATTGAGAATTGCGAAAATATGAACGAGTTAAGATTTTTATTTTATATTAAACTTTACTGTATCATATACAGAATCGACCAAGAATAATAATTAAAAAAACGAATTCAACTCCTAGGTTGGGTAAAATACAATAATGGATGAATGGTACTGCAGTAAGTATCTTTTAAATCTGAAAGTAATGTACTATTGCTCTCTAAAAAACGATTCTGAATAAAAGAAGACGGATCGATCAGTTTCTAAGATAGTAAATATAATGGAAGAACCAAATTTCTTAAACTGAACCTTTAACTTTTAATGTATTATCTTTTAAGAAAAAAGACATCTACAAATTTTGGGGCATTTAAAAAATGTTGTCAAGTGCCTACAAATAGAACAAACTGAACAACTAATATCGTTTAATAGAAACATCCAATTTCATAAATTGTTCATTTTATAATGCTTATAAAATATGTTTGCGACTTTTTGGCTAGAAAAAATAATTTGATCATTTGATCAATCTTGAATCTAACTTTTAAGTCTTAAGTAAATAAATTTAAAATTTTAATAATTTTTTACCAAAACAATGTTGTAGATTTTTGTGATTTCTGTAATCTTATCATAATTTTATATTTAAACGTTCAAAAATTTTTTTTTTCTTTATTGATATAATGCTTAATTATTTTTCTTTAATCAGTTATAAATATGTATGAGGAATATTTTATTGAATTTTCAAGATTTTTTATCAATCCAAAATGATTTCATCAACATTTTTGAAAAAAGCTAACAAATAAGAAAATTTTACACTGCACAACAATTTTTTTTGAAAATTAAAATGAAATTAGCATTCATTAATAATGTTAGGTTTCTTCATACATTATTTTTCAAAAACAAATATACATTTCTGGCGAAATTCGATATGCCGTAAATGTTGCTGTATTTTTATAACTTTTCATCAGTTTTTTGCAATTATTAAGAAAATTGTTGGAAAATTCGTAAAATGATTTTTTCCAAGGAACCAAATAAACAATATCTCCTGAAAGAGATCTATTACAATTGTAATGATCGGAACAATCCTTTTGTCAGAAATAGTATACTCAAAAGTAAAGTAAAAAGAAATAACGCATAGCAAAGTTATTTGCGATTATTAGTGGCATGAGTTCGAGTCTCGTCTAAGAATTTAAAATTTTATTACAATTGATTTTTTCTTCGTATTTTTCACAATATTTTTCATTTATTCGGAAAACAACTGAAAAATTCAGAAAAAGACCCTCTGAAAAAACGCCAACTAGAATCCATATTCTATATTTTATTTTTTACTTAATGATGACTTCTATTCGAAATTGTACACACACACATTGGTAAATCATGGTAAAACCAATACACTTCTCGCTTCAGTCGGTCACTCCAAAACGGTGCTGATCGTTGTTCACGTAATCGACTAGCATTTTACCGGATCACTGCGGGCACGTCGGAATCGGCTGACTGAAAAGAGACTGCAGTCGGTCGAAAAAAACAGTGTAATAATATTGTAAAAATCGCACGTCATTATAATATTCTATCGAACTACATCGCTAATGAACACACAAACACTGCACTGCACTACAACTGTGAACGTGTAACGTTACGATATAATTTCAATATTTATAATTTACAATTTGGAAAACCGAACGGTTATTTACAATGCAGACCGATATCGAGTTAGACGATTATAAACGAAACATACAACAACAAACTTGACTTTAAAGCAAAACGCACTGGCCGTGTTTGTAATCGCGTCGCGTGGCCTTCACCGCGGCTCTGAACACCTCTTGAACGCCGTCCCGGGTCTTGGCCGAACACTCGACGAACGCGAAAGCTCCGACCTCGTTGGCGACCGTTTGGCCCTCGTCCGTGCTCAGCATCGGTTCCCGGGGCTTGACGGCGGTACCGGTTTCCGACGGTCGGTTTGACGACGACCACAACGGTGACGTGTGCACCGTACCGGATACGACGCTCGTGATCCTCGACGATCCCGCGTCCCTTCCCGCTTCGCACGTATCCTTCTCGTCGTCGTCGACGTTTATCAAGGGCACGCGTTCGCGCCGACATCTCGTGTCATCGCTTTCGACCGTGACCGTGGTCGTGTCCGTCGTGATCGTGGTCGTCGAACCAACGACGGCTTCCGTCGTCGCGGTCAGATTTCCGCCCGAAAAGTAATCGTCCCGCAGGTCCTTCTTGTTGCCCACCAATATGAGCGGCACATCCGGGCAGAAGTACCGCACCTCCGGCACCCATTTGTCGGTCACGTTGATCAACGATCCCGGCGTATCGATCGAATAGCACACGATCACCACGTCCGAGTTGGGGTACGAGAGCGGCCGCAGCCGGTCGTAGTCGTCTTGGCCGGCCGTGTCCCACAGCGCCAGCTTCACCGTCTTCCCGTCCACTTCGATCACGGTAGAGAAGCTGTCGAACACCGTCGGCACGTATATGTTTGGGTAAACGTCCTCGAAGAACACGTGCAACAGGCACGTTTTACCGCTTGCCCCGTCGCCGACGATCACGATTTTCTTCTCGATCCCCATGATTTCCTACGACAAACATGTTCACACAATAAATCATCGTTGCACTACCCGCGCCAATATCGATTATGCAATGAATTATAATATAATTCATACGAGATATGCAACGTACTCTAACAATACTATAATTTTGGTCGGCACACGCGTGCTAAAGCTTTTAGCCGTTAACTTCATTTTTATTTAAAAGTTATATTAGTAAATATATATTTTAATTCGATGTTAATTTTTTAAGTTTTCTTTATCAAATTACTATGTAATTTGTTTGACTTTTTTTAACTTCAAATACTATTTTATTTTTAATAAAGTTTTAATATTTTTAATTCTTCTACATAGTGACCAAAACTCATTTTCTACTCAGCATGTTATCAAGATTGTTTTATTTAGTGCAAATTCGATACTCGTTTGACATGTGTGTTATTTTTTTTTTAACTAATGCTTTTTCAACGAATCGATCAATTGAAGTAAAAACTTTATTAATCCAACGGTCTGCGGTGCTCAAACGTAAACACTTGAATTCCTTTGAAAAAATAATAGTGGTGATTAGTCAATCCGACTGTCCAACCGATGTGTTAAGAAGTTTTTTACGAGCCATTAATGTGTACAAAAAATACAATAAGTGTTTGTTATTAATCAATTATTATTTAGTGAACATCGATACAAATTCATTAAAAAAACTAACCTTATATATTCCTCGAAATAATATTTATCAGTATTATTAAGACAATGTTTTGTTTGTCCTTCGGTATAGATAACAAACATCCTTTTTTTCGTATATTAAAACGTACGACACGTAACCATCATTTTTTATACAAAACGTGTTGAATGAGTAACATTAATTAGTTATTATTTTAACATTTCTATTTTTAAGTGTAATTTAATTGCTTTTTTTATAGTACACTTTTTTTAAAGGACCGTAGTTCAAACGAACGCCAATGCAGTTTTAATTGTCTTAGTTTTATTTTAACTCTAGCAATGCCAGACTGTTATTTTTGAAACAATTTTCGACATACATTTTTGAACACAATAGAATACTACAATTCGTTAGCGATGATTGTTGTGCACTTATTTCAATACGAGTATAAATTTACAAAGTATTATATTAAAAACGTTTCTGTGACTCCAAAGAAATGGTACATAGTAGTTATTGAATTATACAAAACAAATCTCTTCAAATTTTAATTAAGAGTAAATTATATTGAATTGATGTAATATAAAAGATACACACAGACACATGAACACGAAATTGTTGTTTTAACATTTTAATTATGACAAAATACAAAAAACTTTTAAGTGTATTATAACATACTAGCAGACCCGACAAACGTTGTTTTGTCATATAAATTATTTCTAGAGAATATTTCGCTAGAAAAAAAAATAACCAATTTAGTATAAGTGTGTAAGGATGTGGTATATAAGTGGAAGAGGAGGTAGTGCTATGAACGGTGACGAAATATAAAATTGAAAAAACATCAAACATTTATTTTTTTAATAATTTATAAAAATTGATCCATTAAAATTATATACATCGCTAATTATGACAATATTAGTAAAAAACAATATCAATCCCTTAATACAAAAGGGTGTACAATATTTTTTGTTATCACATCTTTCGCCAACACAAACAAACTGGATGGATTGTGAGCACGCCACGTATAATTGTCCGTGTGAAAAACATGATGTGCTCAAATCTAAGCCACTGACAGACATCGTTTGGCCTTGAGACTTATTTATAGTCATTGCAAATGCCAATCTAATTGGAAATGAAGGCGTTTAAATCGTATTGGCACATCTGTGGGTATAATAGGGATTCGCGGTAATAATATATTTTCACCTCAGAATTTACCAATTAAAATGATGGCTTCGATAAAATTTTTCATTCATTTTTTAATCACTAATCACGTGCCGTTACACAAACGTGGTGAATTCAAATTACGAAGCAAAATAATCGGGGATCCAACCTTCAGTTGTAAATTATGCGATGGCATGCCTGGTAAATCCAATGAGTTTAAGAATTCTGTTGGATAATTTACAGCTTCAGTAGCATCGCAAACTGTATCAATAGATTTGTGTGACACCAAGTCTCCTGGTAACAAATCTTATATTTTGAGATTCAATTCGTTGACGTTTTTTCTGTTAAAATTGCTTTTTCTGCCGGCCACTTATGATTTATGTATTTTCTGTATACATTAAGAAATATCTGGTCAATGAGAGGATTTTTCGAATCAATGATAGTGCAGAAATCGTCGGTAATTGTATGCATGCCGTTTCATCAGTAGTAACTTTCCCATCACCGATATCTAACAATTGTTTTGAGAACCTTCCGCACGCAGATTTTTTTAATTGGATTGCCAGTATCGTAATTACTCACTCTCTATAAAGATAGAGACATACATGTCGATCATAAACTGTTGACAAAGCTCACGATATCGTAGAATAACGTTGTCCTGATTGCATCTAATCATCAACCGATATGCATAATAATCCTTCGAACTAACATTCTTATTTGTTTTGCTACCTGTTGCAGGATCTTGTTGTTTAATATTTATGCAATATCCGTCATTAAATACTAAAAATATAATTATTAGTTTTTAAATAGTTTTTAATAGTTTTTTAATAATATCATTTAATAATTCATTTTCAATTGAGCAGTTATCGACCGGGTCAAAAATTATTAAATTAAACTACGATTTATTAAACAATAGCACTTAGAAGTATAAAAAATAGATAAAAACCTATTCACTGATCTACCAAATGTATATACAAAATTTCATTAAAATCGGTTAAGCCGTTTTAGAAGAGTATGGTAACAAACACTGTGACTCACTTTCCATGTTGATCCATTTTTTTGGTGTTGGCCGGGGGCCCCATTTTAACGATTAATTATGTTATATGGAAAAATGTATAAGCTAAAGCTTGCTGAAGCTTTTTTAATTCGAAAAATCATTCCAGAACTCAAAAAATTAATCATCAAAAAAATTAAGAAAAAATTTAAAAAAAAAGGGTTTTCCAAAACTTTTTTTTCGTAAAAACCTTCTCCTAACAAATATGAACAATTAAAAAAAAAAAAAAAATTGAGCCATATCAGCCCAGCCGTTCTCAATCGATGAATTGTTATACATTTTTGGCTCCATTTTTGTGTATATATATATATATATATATATATATAAGTTTTCGAAATATGAATATTGGTGTTCGCAATTTTGCATCATTGATACGCTACAGATAGTTTTAGATTTCAGATATCAGTTACATAAAATGTTAAAAATAATCAATATATTATATAAATAAATTATGATTAGCACTATAAGCAGCAAGTAGTCTGATTTTAACGCGGTAAATCATTATTGAATATTGAGACCTTGGATATAGTGTGAGAATATTACGCCCAGACATTTATGATGGATACCTTATATCACTCTCGTTTCATATTTTGTACACATCCAAATAATCTTTTTCTCAAGTTTCTAGACATTGAATATAAATATAGTATAATATTTTGTACATTAGAATATTGAAAATATCAACTCGAACGATTTGATATTTTTATATTTACTAAGAGTATTTTTTTTAAATAATTTTTAAATCTCATGATTAATAACAATCATGTATAGCTTAATAAGAATATTATTTAAAAATCAAGTAATTTTATAACTATATTTTATTTATCGGGTAACTTAAACATATATAATATAAACATATGGTACGAAAAAAATAAAATACATTTAATAAATTGTTATAGTTTGTTTGTTTTTTTATGAAATATAAATTTACCAATACAAAAATGTATTTACTTAACATTTTTGTGCAATTATTATTAAATTTAGCGTATAGATCATATTTTATTTATTTTTACGAATATGTATACAACAAAAAAAAAAAAAAAACCAATAAATCATACAATTATTTAAGATGAAATAAATATAAATGTTTTTATTGCCAACTTATAGATTTGTTTTCCAAACAATTAGATTACCATTATATAATCATAGACTATTTTCTGTGTACTTCTATTTCACCTATGATTTAGAATATATCTTATATACGTCACGAGTGCCATACTTATTATTTATTAAAGTTCATTACTTTGGTGTTAGTATGAAACAGAACAAGAACAATAATTTATTATTAAAACATGTATATAAGTATGAAAATTTACTAATCAAAAACGCAAGACAATCGTTGAAAAAAACAAAAATTTCTAAAATAAATTTGTTTTTTATGTTTATTTACGTTAAATGATTTTTTATTTTTGTTATGAATTTTAATAACAACAATTTCAATCTTGTCAAATACACGATGTGATTGATAGGATTGAATGTTTCAAAAATGTACCAATAAAAAAAAATGTATTAAAGAAAAATATTAATATTAACATTAATTTGTTTTCCAACATATGTAAATAAATATATATTCAATTAGAATCGTTAAAGTATATACAATTTCCGAAATAATTAATTGCTTTTAGTTTGATCTTAAGAAATCTAATGTGACTAAATTATTGAGTAGTACATAAATATCAAATATGTCCGATATTATACAAGTGTTATTACTTTTCTTGTTATTTTGTTTTCACTGAAATAATTGGTAATATCAAACCAAAAAAAAAAAAAAAAAATGTACATTAAGTAAATTAATATTAATGCTTCTTTAAAGAGACTCCTTAAAGTAATTAAGCTTGACATCTTCTGACATGGCCACTTGAGTCACACGATAATTTCACGTAAATTAATGTTCGAGTACTATCTACTCGATATCTGTATAAGAACCCTCATTCGGAAAAAAAAACTGAAATATGCAAATAATTATCTTTAAAGAGGCTACTCTACCTTAATACAAAATTATTGTTTAATAAATGTTTAAGTATTCATTCATTGACACGGTCTTTAAACAATATAAATAATTGTTGTTTTATTTAATGTTTAACGGCTTAAAGAACACATAAAAATTAACATTGATGAGCGTATATAACATATTTAATAAACAAACACACCATAAAAGTGAATAGAGTAGTACAGAGTGTATTGCATTCCGGAGCATTCGAGTTGGGTCAAGAGTACTAGGGGCTAATCGCAGGTAGTGTACTAGTTGGGTCCCAAATTTTTATAGGTACTACACTAGATGGGTCCTGAATTATTTTAGGTAAGTACTACAGTGTACTAACATTTTCCTTCCCATTTTAACAGCCTTAGGACTATCTATGATCTATTTAGACCAAAGGTATGGTTAGAAATATCTTTTATAGTTTCTTTTCCATTAAAATATAAATTATTAGAATTGTGTTGGTAAAAATATTAAAATTGTATTAATATCATTGTAAAATATTTTTATTACTTAATAATACTTTGTATTATTATATAAATTATTGAATTTTAAAAGAATATGGTCCTGTGGTCTAAATAGATCATAAACAGTCCTAAGTCTGTTAAAATGGGAAGGAAAATATTACTATAATGTAATACTCACCAGAAAATAATTCAGGACCTAACTAGTGTAGTACCTATGAAAATCCGGGACCCAACTAGTATAGTACCTTAAATAATTTGGGACCCAACTAGTGTAGTACCTAAAATAATTCGGGACCCAACTAATGTAGTAATTTTAAATTCGGGACCCAATACGATTGCAGCCTTACATTCATGTACGTGATTGTAATAATATAAAAACAATGTACGGGAAATCAATATTATAAATTGGTTTTTTTTTGTTTTCAGTAAGATCCAACAATAAATACTTATACCGTACTCTACGTATACAAAGTCATCCGAACAATATTTTGTAAAATCCGTTCACAATGTAAAAAAATCAAATAAGATTCACTACACTGCCATGTTTTATTATCTACAATTTCAATAGGCCAGCCATACAGTATTGCTTGTCTCACGATGTTCTTACAATATATTCCTCTCGAACAAGCCTGAATCCTTTTTTCATATAAATAAACGCTTCCTTTTACTTCGGCTGTACACAATTGGTCCGACGTGAACCGTTCTATTCCAAAACCATCGTTACACAGACTCCTATACAAATACGTTTAAACTTGCACGGCATGCTCTACCTACTTCGTGGTTCGTTTTCTCCTCCGCGTCCATTTTCATCTTATCTAATGGGTTAGCATTGCTTTAAAGTTATACCATTTGTTTTATGTTCAGTATGTTGTATTATTGTCACTAATTATTATTTCATTATTTTTATTAAACGATTTTTTTTTAACGATCGAATAGCAATACCATATTTTATTTCTCTTTTACTAAAGTAATTTATTATTATTTCAATCGATATATATCAACTTATTATTCATACTCATATACATAGACATATGTATATATATATTGTAATAAGCTGTTAAAAATAATAACCGAATTGTTCTGAACTCGACAATACATAACATCATAAACTATTCTAATACCAATATTGTTACTATCGATTATTATGCTACTTAATGTTTAACCATATTATATGTATAAATGGTTTTCCTGTTTAAGAATTTTAAAAAACATTAACAATGAATTTAAACACCTAGTGTCTTTTCTTCGGTTGGCATAAAAATTGTAATAATAAAATATCTTATGTATTTATTGGTAGTTTTACTGCGCAGTAAACAGTCGTACAAAAATCGTTATACTATAAAAAAAAAAAATACTATTTAGAACAATCAGCGTCACAAGTGTGCCGTGGTTTTTATTTACTTTCAATGCAACAAGTTATTCTGTAGCAATAAGTAGCAATAAGTACTCACCCTATATTCGTGTATATTTTTCAATAAAAACCTAGATTCGATGTTAATGATATGTTATGCATAAATATATGTATAAAGAAAAACACAATACTTGTTTGAATTGTCTTTTGCGTATTGGTATAAAATAGTAAAAAGAGAAAAATGCGAAACCGCGAAACCAAAGGAAGCGAAATCAATTAATGGATGATATGACGCTATTAATTGTTTGAGAATTAATGACTCGAAGTCAACAGACAAAATGCTCTGTGCACATCGATTTATTACGTCACTGTTAAAAATATAGAATATTTATTGTTATTGTACGGCAGACAACGAATCTTAAACGTACTCAGCATTCGCGTGTTAAGGAACAAATGGAAAACTCATTGAACATGATTTCGTTGCATAACGGCCAAAATTAATTAAAACAAATTCTACACCTATCAATCTGTTTTTAGAGTTATATTGTGTTATTTGAATGTAGTTTTTTCTACCGATAGTTAAAACTGATACTACTGTTATGTTATTCTTTATTTTTTTGTTATTTACACGAATCGGGTATTGATCATATGGTAGTTTAATGTGTACAACGGTTTGTGATAGTAATAAGAATATGATTATTACGTGTTACATACTTTTCCCAGCACAATAAACTAGGATACTATATATTTATACTATTATTATTTATTATTTATACTATTTATATAACTAGGATTTATTTACGAAAAATTATTTTAAAATCTCATCGACTCAAGCGCAATGACAACAAATAATAATTTAGTAGGTATAGTAGGTTTAACATTGTATTTATAGTGTTCGTAAAGTTTCTTAGAAATATTTAAAAACACACATACGGACAAAAACTATTTACATTTGAATGAAATACGCGAATATCCATGAGAACAGTGCTATAATAAAAAAAACATTATGAAATCATAACGATTCGTTTATTTTTAACATAACTTAAATTATACGAATTTAGTTTGTTGTACATCATAATAATATATAGTATAAGCTGTTATGTTATCATTACTACAATATAATATAATCACTAATATTAAATAAATATTAATAACACTCTCTGTGATTTTTAGTTTCTTCTAACATATACATCAGTACATTAATATGCAAAAAACAAAATAAAAATGAAAAAAAAAAAAAAAAAAAACTTTAACAAATTAACGAAAATCCCAAACATTATTGTTATTCTATTTCATCTATTTATAGATACATCACTGTTATCTATGAAATGTTCGCCTCCTCAAAGAAACATCTTAGCACGGTCAATTTAATTTATTTAAGCTTTATGAAGTTACGTACTTAATTGAGACGATTTTGATAACTACCGCCACTAAATAGCTGTTAAATGTGTTTTCGTGAATGTTTATACTATGATACTGTTACGGGAAAAAGTCGAAATCGAGCAAACTTCAGAAATGCCCGGGCAAAATATCATATTTCGACTTTTGACCGGGCAAACCTAGTTATGACCAACATAATTTGGGCAAAACTGCCAAAACCGTATACTGACTTTTATCGTAAGGGTAAAACCGTAGTCTTAAATACGTTCGCTAATATTAAATATAAATAATTATAAAATAAATATTATTGCACAAATATAATTGAATAAACTTAATTAATACATTTAAATCTCACTTGGGCCAAACTGTAGCGTTTTAAATAACTTCACTAATATTAAATACAAAAAAAAAGTAATAATTATGAAATATTGTTTAGATATAATTCAATACACTTAAATAATAATAAAATATAATGATATTAAGTATTTGTATAAAAATAAACATATAATAATATTAGGTACTCTTATAATGTTAAAATAAATAATTAAAAATAATAATACATTTAAACCCCATTTTGATAAGGTGTATTTTGTGTACCTTTAATATAACGAGTTGAAAAAATATAATAACAGCGATAAATTAACAAGATATGCATGGTCATCTATAACCGTAATAAAATCGTATTTAATATTAGCGAACATATTTAAGACTCTTCGGTTTTACCCTTACGATAAAAGTCAGTATATGGTTTTGGCAGTTTCGCTCAAATGAGGTTGGTCATAACTAGGTTTGCCTAGTCAAAAGTCAAAATATGACATTTTGCTCAAGGATTGTGGGCAGTTCGCGTTTTGCCCGATTTCGGCTTTTGCCCGTAACAATACCACCATGAATTTAATTGGCTATGGATTTCTTCGCGAACTGTCACATCGATAAGCACATTTTGAAAGTATTTCGACACTTAGACCGTTATACATAATATAATATGATATGCTCATATAATTTGAATTCGTAAATTACACGATAGCGACGAAACTGAGGAACTTACCTTGCAACTTGTGAGTGTTCTGTTTGTATTCGGTTAAACACAGCACCAATTCTTCGACAAACACGTTCAGAAACAAAACGAGCTATTTGACGGACGTTTACATACGTAAATTTTGATTTTAAACAGTACCTACACTATAATTTATCACATCGGGTAAAATATATTTTCAATTATTGGTAGAAAAAACAATAGAAAAAAGAATGTTTCACAAAACGCTTAAAATAATGATAACGATGCATGAAAGTAAAATAAAAAAAGAAAACGATCGTCGGAAATATGATTCGTACAAATTTCACCACAGATCGTCATGAGAAAACAGCTGCTGCATTATATTGTAACTCACCGGCCACCGGTGAATCACTATTTCGCACAACATAATATTATTATTTATTGTCTTTGATTTGATTCAATTGACAGTGTAAGAAAATATCACCTCATACTAATAATATAATATTATAAACACACCGCATTTGTACGTAAGGGTGAATTGCGATTGATCAAACGCAGTATAATGTCCATCTTGGCATGTCGTTCTGCAATTTTTTTCACCGCGTATTATATTCGTTTCGTCTCAAGTCGACATCGGCGACGGATAATAATAATAGTGATAAATAAAAAAACTAAAACGGCGACAGCGCTAAAGAATAAAAAAAAATAAAAACTTAAATCATAATATTATAAAACAATAACTACAGTTTCGTTACGATCTCAAATCAAATCAAAAAAATTTATGCGAACTGCTGACGTGATAACAATAAAATGTGCATAGAGAAACTGAAGGTACGCACTCATTGGACGTGCGCGTAGCCGAACACATTTCATCCGACAGTTGTACATATAAGGTGTAGTGTATAGTATTAATCGTCAACCGTTTATTATATATTAACATTTAATTTTAAATTTTATCAAATCGTGTTTCGTTTAAAATACAACTGAATCAGCCGGCTTATCACAGATTCCTGCGTGCATAATAATACTTATGTTAAATACCGGGCATACTTCATTATTTCAACTTGACTTACACGTTTAAGATAATAATAAAACGTTCGCATAATATTAACATACCTAAAACGAATGTATATACTACACACGTATGTGATGTATGTGCACCGTGTTGAAAACTAAAAATCAGTGTTCAAACGAAACAATTTATGCATTAGAATTGGTGAAACGAAACTATAACGCGCAACAATTATATTCATGTTTTGACGATTGTTAAATCATAATAATTTTACAGGTATGAAATTTTATGTATAATATGGTCGATGTAGTATTAAACAAAAACAGTTGAAAACGATTGTAGTTCTAAAAATGTTGGGAATAAAACTGTTAAATAAACTCAATCGGACCGATGGGTAGAAAGGAGTTTCATATAGCAGGTTTGAATCACCAATTCCTGTGGAATTATTATCAAATTCCTCCAAACTGCGTTATTTGCAAAGCCTAGAAAATATATTATAATATAGCAACAGCACGAGATGAATTTGAACGAATTCAACGCTCGGATAAATGGATGCGTATTGGCAATATGACTATATACTTACTCGTTGTGTACGTAAATAAATATATATACACCACTCCGTGTGCCGTACTTTTCGGTGGTTTCACCGTTACGCACAACAACATGGAAGAAAAGGGAAGATTCAATTTACTCGACACGAAAAAAAAAAAAGAAAAATTAACATCCTAAATAAATTATCCTCCAAGTGTAAATATATACCAAACACGAGAAATTTGTTAAGTCAACATCGATAAAAATCTTAAATTTTATAATTAATTAACTTGCAAAAAAATGCAACTCATATAAATACAAAAGTACGGATAAATACATAAAATGTTTAAATATACAATGCTTTTATTCTGTAATCAATGTTAAGAACGGAGACTAAAATATTAATGTCCAATGTATAGTGATGTATTCAAAGAAATTATACATACATTTATTACCTCAACAGCGTATCAATCAATATTTCGTATGATTTTACAACTATGAGTTCATTAAATAATCATATGTACGTGTTCTTTGCAATCGCATTAAATCCGTGTACCATTAGGATTCAAATATTTTTAAAGTTCGAAAATTTATTAGAAAACAATATTAATATTATTCGATTGAAATATCTGTTAATTAAAAATATTGACGATAAAATCATAAAGTATCATAATGATGATCACATAAGAATAAAATACACGTGAAATTATAATATTAGTAAGTTTCATAAGCAATTTCGTAACAATTATATTTTCAGTGATAACATTTCACCAAGGACTTATTAATTTTTAAAAGAAGACCCAATATCCCAATATCATATTAATTGACGCTAAAAATGTGTTTTGACAATACTGATAATATTCGCAATAGCGACACAAGATGGCAATTATTGTTTTGCAACTTAAATAAATTTGTGAGTGACCATCAGGGAAGAATATATTGAAATATACTAGAAACATTTAACATTTGTAAATACAACAAATTATAAATAAGGTTATCTACGCAAGTATATATACAGAGCGTTCTATTAAAATTGCGATACCTTCTTTATTAAAATATATATACTCGTATATATAACTCCGTTTTTTTTTTTAATTTACGTATTATGTATTTATTATATTTTTGTGAGTACACATTTTTCAATAAATTCTTATTTTTTTCTCCGTAGGATTTAAAAATAATAATTTTATAATTTATATTATTTGGCTTAATCATTAATGGAGGAATGGAGGAGTTATCGCGATTGGTGGAACCTCTACCATCGCGAGACACCATGTATGGACATTAATAAAGACAGATTCTTAATGTTCAGACTAATCTTAAGACCAGTAAACCGATTTTAATAAAACATTCATCGTTAGTTTCCACGTGATCCCATGGCTGACATGGGCCATGACAGTTTTCCGATAGACATCGATTTACATATTTTTTATTCAAGATTTTGGTGTCCTTGGGTAATAAATAATAAATAAACAGATAGTATTTATAAAACGTTTAATTGACGTTTTATTATCGTATTTTTACTGTTGTACGAATATTATAATCACGATTCTTCCATTTACTTGTTGAGCACTATGGTTTCTATTATTCAGGTTCTGGTGGTTGCCAAAATGACTTAGTTATGAGAATTAAAATAAGAGTAATCTACAAGAGGTACGTTGTAAAAGCGAGATCTTAGGAAGACTAAAAAGTAGTTTGGAAAAAGAACATCGTTGTTCCTAATAAGTTGAGCGCTGTGTTATGCAGGTGTAATTAAAATAAAATAAGAAAGAAAGCTCTGCTAAAAATTACAATCTACTTATTAAACAGTATAGGTACGTTAATGTAATATTTTTAGATTCTATATTTGTTTGACATTCAACTAATCTCTAAAATAAAAATTTAAAAATACAATTTATTTTTATTTTTATTAAAAAAATATAAATATAGTCTGATTGCATGCAAGATACTGAAAAAAAAAAACTTGTCTATCTTTATAAAGTAGAATTCATCAAAATTTAAAAATCTTCGCAGGACATTTCTGTAAATGTTTCTGAATATTATATTTGTAAGCACACAACATTCTCTCTCACATATAAGTACACACTCTCTCTTACACACACACACACACATCATTTGGATGAATTTTCGAATTGTCGATAATGTTTTGTTAGAATCGATAATGGTGTTTTATAGTGTTATAACGCACGCGTGCATATTGTATATCATTAGCCATAATGTGCATATACGAGTATATGTTGCTTTACGCTTTAAAAGCAAAAAATTCGTATGCAATAATACGTGAGATGCCCTGCAAATAGCTGCAACGGATGTTCGTATACACCATTTTACCAATTTCCGACATGTGTATTCCGATATGTGTGTTATTGTATATGCAAAGTTTTCTATTTATATTGAACAATAAATGGAGTTTCAATAAAGTGAAAAAACACCTATGTTTCTCTTCTTATTTTTTAAACATTGACACATATACTTACAAACGAAATACGTATACACTTCTGTTTTTCAAATATATTTTTAGGGATTATGGAGTAATTTTTTTTTTTTTTTTTTGATAATTTCGACGATTAACTGAAAAGTGGAGGTTTAAAATAATAGGTATAAAATATACTTTGCCAACAATTATTTTTTTAACGGTATTTTTAAACATTGTTGAACTTGTAATCCCGATATTTTAAGAACTAATTTTAAGACAGTAGTGTATATAACTACAAAAAGAAATATGCATAGATATTCAGAGATAAATACTAGCAAATAATACCGGATTTAAGTTTCATGAGATCGGGGTGCAAATACCTATTAATGTGCCTTAAAAATAATTACACATTAGGATTATTGTTCTTAATTGATCTCCAAATAGTTATTGGTGTTTTCATAACGCTTTTATTTAAACCGAGTCATATGCATGATGTCTAAAAGCTATAAATAGTAGATGCAATTTCATATTAAATTCATAATATTTCTCTATCAGATGCTTCAGCGTGAATATATGATCAATTATCGATCATCCCACTAAAAAAGCAACTTTGGTAATCTATTGTAATATCTACTGCATATGGTCATAGACATTTAAGAATATTGTTAGAGAAAATTTTATAAGTTATACATAGCAACGATATCCCTCTATAATTACCACAGTTCATTACATCTTCCTTTTTATAAATCGAACAAATGATTGATGTATTCCAATTCTCTGGCATCCTTTATGTCATCAATATTTCTTTTGTCAAATTACATATCTCTTTTTTTAGGTTATCTCCTCTATATTTTAATAGTTCTGACGCTATTTCATCGTTTCCTGCAGCTTTTATTATTTTTGAGCATTTTTATAGCGATTTCGATTTCCTCTAAATTAGGTTTCCTTAACTTCTGGTTCCACCGATATATATCCGATGCTTATTTGGGTTACATCAATAGTTTTGTTTAGTATGTTTTGGAACACTTACTAAACAAAATTATTGATTTAACCCAAATAAGCATCGGATATATATCGTTGGAATCAGAAGTTAAGGAAACCTAATTTAGAGGAAATGGAAATCGCTGTTTGGAACACTTTTAAATTCCTTTGCTATTTCTGTTTCCTTAGTTATTAGTGTTCCGTTCTTGTATTTCATGATGATCACTTTTGATTTATAGATTCTTGTTAGCTCGTTGGTTTTTCGGAACAAATTTCTTAAATTTATATATTCCTCTTCTATTCTCCTAATTTTTTCTTCTTCCTATATTCTTTTTTCTTTTATGATCGTTATTTTACCTTTCTTTGCTTTTGGGCTAGCTCTTTATTTTTTTCGTTACTATTGTCTTTGAGTATTTCCATTTTCGCTTTATCTCTATTTTCTATTGCCGTTTTATCCTTCTCATTAAACCATGTTGTTACTTTTTTATTTGTTCTGTAACCGATTGATCTCGTTGCTGCAAATTTGATAATTTTTTGGAGGTTCTTCCATGCTTAGTTTGCGGTTTCTCATTTAGTTGTTTTATCATTTCATCCTGATATTTTTTCCGCATTTGTTCTTCTTTACAGCTTTCTAATTTTAGTATTTTTAGAGTCGAAAATTTTGCTGTTCGTTCTCTGATTAGTTTCATCCTTACTATAGCTCTAATTAAGAAGTGATTCGACTATGAATCTACAATTCTACAACCTCTCACGTCCATAATCCAATGTTTTATTTGGTTATCTACTACTTCATGGTCCATCTGATTATGTGTTGTTCTTCCTAAAGACGTTCAAGTCTGTTTATGGATATTTTTAATAGAAAATCATGTTCTACTAATTACCATTTCTTTTGAAATCTTGAGATTTACCAATATTACGCCATCATAGTTTGATTCCTCATGAAGGCTTTCTTTTCCAATCGTTGATCTAAAACATCCCTTCTTTCGACCTTCGCATTGAAGTCTCCCATTATGATTTTTTTGTATTCTTCTAGATTTACTATTATCGTACATCATATCTATGTATATGGCTACAAAAACCTTCTGTAATTCTATTTTTTTTCTCTTTCGTCGGTGCGTAGCGGATTAATGAAAAATACGTTCATCCATTTGCAATATATCTGTAACCAGCATAACCGCTCATGATTCATGTATTGCTATTATATCTATTTTTTCGATAATCGAAATAACCGCGCCTCTCAGCGTCGCGTTTCCGGAGGAATCGGTTGACTAAATGACATCGTAAAAATTATACGCAATGTACGCATGTACGTAGGTAGGCAGAGGAAACACACTAGTCATTGTTTTCATCAGTTCCATTGATCGTTTCGCCATTGAAGACAAACCGTTCTGAACGACCCGAACTGCGGGCAGTAACCGGCGCGAGAGGCAGTAGGGGGTGGGCGAACAAGGCGCCTGGATATTTCTCTCGGGTGCGTCGCCGCCGCCGTCGTCGTCGTCGCCGCCACCGTTGCCGCCACTGTCGCTAAAAACTCGTTCCGTATGAATGGGCATCGGTCCGGGGGAGACGAACACGGTTTTCGGTTTTGTCCTCTTCGCGATAACGTCACGAGACGTCAAATACATAAATACATACACATACATATATATTATTATTAAAGGAACGAACGACCTCAACACGATACACTAGGGCAGTGGTCGTCCTCTACAACCTCGACGACAAATCGCTCTAGAAATCCAAGAGAAACGTACGTGTGCGATAACCGCGGGCGGGGAGGATTTAGGCTGCCGCGGTAACCTCGCGCGCGCAGCTGCCGCGATATCGTATTACGTACGGAGAAGGTAGATTTCGGTAGTAAAATATTTATATTTTTCCGTCCTTCTCGGATACTATTATTATTATTATTGTCGTGCACTATACATATTGTATTGTTTAAGGATATCACGGGGAACAGTGGGTTGGCGGTGGGGGAGGAGGAGGAGAACAGAAAGTCGTGTGCAGGTGTGCGCGTGTGTGTGTGTGTGTGTGTGTGCGTGTGTAGTTTTTAATGTTATCACGGCCGAGGGGTTTAACGACGACGCACAGGCGGCACGGCGGCGTCGGTGGCGGAAGAGGTCGGCCGGCTCGTTGAATCAATACGGCGGCGGCGTGCCCGGCGCGCCGGAGGGTAGTCGCCGCGCGTGTGCCGTGTATTCCGCGGCGGTGCGCGCCGGGCGGCACCCCTGCGGCGGGGCGGGCGTCGTCGTGGTGGCCGTCGTCGCGCGCCGCCACCGCCACCGCCGCCACTGAGCAGCTGCTCGCGGGTAAGCACTGCACGAATGCCCGGAGATCTCCAGGAACGTTCGCACCAGAGACAACGGCACGGCAGCGGACCGCGCGCGTACTCCGCACTCGTTGTTTTCGTCCGTGGTCGTCGTTGTTTCTGTTGATTGCCGCGGTCCACGACACCGGGGTGCGCGATAAGTCCTGTGTTCGTCCGTACGTTTTTATTTATTTATTTTTTTTTCCGCTTACTCCCACACGCGTACGCGCACGCACGCACTCGCAAACTTGCGAACCGGTGTGCGGGTGTCCGTCGGTCTTCCGCCTCGTTCCGGTCACGCGTCGCGATTTCCGGAAAACTTTAAGAACCCTCCACCGCCATCGGAGTTTTTAATTTTTTTAATTTTTTTTTTTTTTTAATTTTTCTCACCCCTCCCCCGCCCCCTCGTTACCGTGCGACACCGTCGGTTTGCGACACGCCTGATCTCGGCGCAGACCCATCGCGCGCTGTTATCGATGGCGCACACGCGTGCAGGCGCACCTCAGCGGTCGCGCTCGTTTGACGGCGACGGCAACCCGTCGCAGCCGCAGCGGCACTAGCGATAGCAGCATCGGCGACAGGGACATCAGCGGCGACGGCGGCGGCAGTGGCGGCGTCGACCCGGCACCGCGGCGACGACGGACCGGTAACAGGAGCAGCGAAAGCGGCCGCCGCCCGACGTGTTGTTGCAGCTGCCGCACGCGCGTACGGCGGGAATACGGCGACCGCCGCGAGGACCACGGACACCGGGGCCGCGGTTACGGCGATGAAGTGCTACTACGACCGTCGAGCCGCCACGCCCGAGCCGCGATGACCGGCCGCGTCGCGCACACAGTCACGGCGGCATGGCTGGCGGCCTGCGTCGCATTTCTGGTGCCCGTCGCACCACCGGGCGTGCACGCTGCGTGAGTATTCCGTCGGCTCTTTGCTCCGTTACTTTACTCAGGGACGTGGGCTCGATCGTAATCCGTGCCCTGGCAACGGGGAAAACCCGTAACGCTCTTCGTGCGCGTCTCCGCGAACGGGTCTTCCCCGTGCACGGGTAGTCGGATTTCGATCCACGTCATCGGCACACGCCATAGATCAGCGGTTCCCAAACTTTCACGACCACGGAACCCTTGAGAAATATTTTTTTGTTTCCTGTAACCCCGACGTCTCTAACTCCAACTTATCACCGATTCTGTAACTATTTGTAATTGCGTTTATTTTTATCGCTGAAAAACCAATAATCCAAAAAATGTTTTGAACATAGTTCATGGCTATTGTTTACTACGATTACTGTTCTCGATATTCAGGTATGTCACGCGGAACCATCAAGATTGTCCCACGGGACCCTTAGGTTCCCCGGAACACACTTTTTGGGAATCGCTGCCATAGATACTTCCGAAGGTTTTAATAACATACGTGTTACTGTTTCGGCCGCACAACGCCGGGAGATTGTTGAACATAATGATAGATATATATACGTTCGTCTCGATCGAAAACCGATCGTTATCTCTTTCCATTTCCTCCTCGATCTGATCCGTATTTTATTCCACCCGAACCAATGCGCGCACGATCATAGATAAGTTAGATCAACGCCTGAACGGTTTCCCCGGCGTTGCACCGTCGAGCGAAATCAACAACTATTTCTTAGGTCTTACGCGCGTACATTGCTTTTGCCGATACACCGAGGCTGTTATTGTTAGTCACTCGCCCGTGTAAACCCACGCCATTATGGTTCACGCGTTCGACATTTTACGAGTTTGTGGATTTTTCCCACACGATCCCGGTTTGAATGATTTTTATAAAAATAAAAACCCCGATTCATACATACGTAGATGCGTAATTTACGTGATTCAGCCCCCGAGGCGCCCATTCAATAGTATGATGTCGGCATGGTCGTTTAGTACGTGACGTAGAACGCGCCGCGTCCGTCGGAATGTTGTGCTGGTACTGTGTGAAGTTTTCGATAGCGAAAAAGGGAGAAAAATAACGGCAAACGGCTTCCGACACACCAAAGGCCCCCGTTCGGGACGGATCGACTGTTGGTCTTATTTTCCATTACGGTGCGCACGCATTAATAATGTAGACCTATTGAATGGCGATGATACGTAATGCCGAGTACTCGAGCGTGCTAAACGTATTAATGACACGCGCACGTGCGCGGAAATAACAAATAAGTGTTATTGTTTTAAAACGTCGTCTTTTTCGGCTTTCAAATTGCATTCATTTCAATCCCGCTCGATTTTACTCCCACGTGATCGCCCTCGTCCGTCCATTTCTGCCGTCGCAATCTCGCGTACCCGGCAAAGGAATTTTTGAATACTTAAAAAGATTTACCTTGTACGTCCATTGTTACGCCGATGTTTACCAGGCGACGCCGTCCTCGTCATCGAGGCACGGTTAAGTTATTGTACATGTATATTATACGCACAATAAGTGTTGCGCGATAGAGTATATTAAAAAGGACTTTTAACGACGAAATTATACAGAACCTCTGATTTTTAGCTCTATAATAACACGTAAACCGTATACATGTAATAATTTATTGCATCGCATAAACGGGTCTTCTTCCGTGTTAACCCGTAGTTTCGTATACATTATAATATACTTTTTTCTACTAAAAAACCTTTTATTTTTTTTTTCTGGCCTCTACATAAAAATAACGTTACGCGCAAAACCATATTCGGAGAGGTTTTCGCGTTCGACCCCGCAGTCAGCGACTGTTATTCACTTTTCGGTAACAATGCACGACGAACACGGTTGTGCGCAAAGTCGAAGGTAATCGTGTACACGTACAGGCGAACACGTACGGCTTATCAACGCGGTTTCGAAAGACAACGTCTAAATTCCCCGTAAAAATAACAACGTGACTAATTACTGGAGGCGTTTCGCTAAAACGAGAATTGCCGTTTCCCCGTTCCCGCAGCCCTTCCGCGACTTCCTCGATTTAACTTTACCCCTCCCGACACCTCGAATGATTCGCTCGTTAACACGCGAAACGCAAATCGTCGTCAATTCTCCGCCGCCGCGCAGTGCCGTATGGAGTTTTCGATACCCTTTAACCATTAGCAGCCCCAAGGCACCACCTAACCATCACGGTCCCCGGTCCGGTGCACAGACACGTTTATTATGATGTTCGACGACTTCCCGCGACATAATATTCCCGTCCCGTCTCCGCGCGCCTGTTACGTTACCGATTCGGTCACCGGACGAATCGAAATACGAGGGCGAAAAAATGTTAAGCACCTGAACCGTAAAACAGTACTTCACGGTCTTGAACGCATTGCTTGCGCACGTTTCGAACGACCGGTATGATAGATATTAAACGACATCGCGGTGTTACCGTGTAACGTGTGACATTGGAAACCCTTGGCAAAACGTTACGTCATCACCACCGGTTGCGGCGGTGGTACGCTGGCGTGAATAAGCACGAGCTCCGAGAGGGTGAGCGGAAAAGAAATGACTACACTACGCGTTGTGTAACAATGTTATTAAAAAAAAAAAAGTAACCACCCTAAAAATAAAACACATTTCGTCTCATTAAACACCCAAGGTCGTTGGTACACTGCGTGTCCTTGGCTTATCCCCATAAACTCAAATTGTCCTTTGCATTCCGATTTATATTATTTTACTTATTTTACGCGAAACGTCTGATCGTATTTTTCACATTCAATTTTTTTAGCTACGACACAGTATACATTTCATTGTTGGAAACCGTTTTTCCACGATCAATATTTTAATTTCACGCTATACGGTTAAAAATATTTAACCAAATCTGCTTGTACTCGAATATGAATATAATGACCCCGAGTGTCATATCTGAAATCTTAACTGTTAAAATTAATTTCGGTAGTAATCACATATAAAGGCGTGTACATCATATGATAAACTAAAATGTATCCGAAATCAGACATAATTATTTACTTTGAATATGTTTAAAATAAAATTGTACTATCACAACAGAATCTTACAACTGAATGTTTGGTTTTTATATACTATCTATTGCGATATTTAGTATAAAATAAAAAATATATAAAAATACAAAAATAAGAAAAAAAATATCTATTGTGATACTTAACATTTACCATGTATTTTATATAATATATTACGATTTATACCAGTGGTTTCCAATTTGTGGTCCGCGAACCCACAGGGGTCCACGTGTTGATTTTAGAGAGTCCGCGATTGTGTAGTACTGTAATTAATATTTTAATTTATTTTAGTAAAATTATTAACTTAGTAGTCGTTTGAAATTCTGAGTAGTTTTGGACTATTGAAACTCGATTATCGCCATCGTAAAATTAATATAAATCGTACATATATGTATCAAAATTGAAAAGTAAGTATTTACAAAAAATAAAGGTCCCCGGAATAATATAGTTATAGCTAAGAGTTCGTGGCTTCATACCAATTGGGAACCACTGTTCTCTACTATTTACAACAACAAAAGAAGTGCAAATAATGTTGACTGTATAATACAGTTGATATAGTATTTGAAAATTCGGAACATTTTGGGTTGGTGGTATACATAAATATATACACACACATACATATATATATATTATATGTATATGGCCAGTAAAATATAAAAATACTATAAAATGCAACGTAAATCTCGTTGTCCTAAGTCCGTCATACGAAATTGGAGATTATCGAAGATTGGTTTCGTAAAAAATTGTATTTTTATTTTTAAACCCCATAGTTATATTGTATCGTATATTGTAGTAATATTGTATAAAATTATATTGTTGGCAGCCCTGAGCCGTATTGAGTTATGAGAAGAAGAGCAAAATAGCCGATTAGAATAAATTATTGAGCTACAAACTAGGATTGTATATCAATCTTGTTTATTTTATTGGTAACAATTTTGCTAAGGGATACATTGTACGACAATTTGCATAATCGCACGTTGTTCAAAAATCGAAATCATACGATACGAAATTAAATCACGTATTTTCTCGAGTATAAATTTTTTTTTCTACCCGAATAGTTTTGTTCACAGTGTAACGCCAACAATATTCTCTAACGTTCAATACTCGAGTAACATTCATGTACTCATAAAATTTACTTGCCACGCGACAATGCGTTCGAATCGAAATATAATTTAATTTTCCATTTCTTTTTCTCGTTGTTTTACCAACGTCACGCGAAAAAAGAATAAAATTAATTTTTTTTTTACCAACAAAGCGTATATGATACCATAACATTTTCAACCTCATGTGTTTACATTTAAGCATCTAAGCCACTTGTATATTTTTATTCAAATATATTAAACAGTTGTGTTCATGACAGGGTTAACGGTATAAGTAGCACGTATTTCTACGGTCTGATAATATTGGGCAATATTTAAAAAGAATTGAATACTTTTTACGTTAACCTTTGAGGATTTTATTCGTCATTGTTCATGAATTATTCGTTAATTTTATTGCATACGTGTAGGTATGTATATAAATAATGTAAGCAATGTGGTTTTTAATGATTGACTTAGTAATAAGTCGCGATTTTATCAGTACCTCCCTCGGTTTGATATAATTCTGGATTCATACTTAATAGCTGACTCGTGCGTTTTAAATTAAGAATGGACTCGCAATAAAAATTATTGTGAGAGGGTTTAAAAATAAACGTGACTATGTTACTACTTTTCAAAATTGGCCATGTCTACAGACACCGATACATACGTATATGAAATGCATGTCCGTGTATGCGAGTGTAGCGTTGACATGCAATATGTATTTTACTGAATATCTCACACTAAATGGTTTATTTTTTCAGTGCCCCTGGCAGCGGTATGTTCGGTGACGTAAATATATCGGCAATACTCGATTCGTTCAGTTCGAGCTATGACAAAAGAGTAAGACCCAACTACGGAGGTGAGTGTAACGTTTCACAAACTATATTCGTATATTCGTTCGTCAAATAACTATAAATAAGAATATTATGTATAGAGTATACAGTTTGCATTGAGTATGTTATAATAATTTATGGTGCAATACCTTATATTGTAGCTTAATGTAACGATTGCAACTACACCACCACCACGTGGTGGTCGACAAACGTCCGAATATCGGGGACGCATACATTATTTTCTATCGGTTCATATCGGTCGCTAGAAAAACTATAATACTCGATCGATAACATCAAACCACCGGTTATAACCATTCCGTTGATCACGAAAACCTTCTTTGCTAGAAATTTATTCGACACAGAACAGTGATAAGGTTATACCAACGGATACGGATGCGTTTACTCGATTCCGAGAAAAGAGCAGAGAACACGAGTATCGTCCCTGAGCACCTATGGCGATCTTACTTTTAACATCAAGAAGAGGATGCCGCAGGGTTCCGATAAACGTCTGCGGTGCCCTTTTAAGACCGGATTGTTGCCAAATTTTAAAGTTCCTATACTAGAAAATTACTATATAGGTATCGCAACCCATTCTCCATGACGACAGCGGACGAGGATGTACCAAAACGAACTATAAATAAACGTTCAACTATCTCAATCAACGATGAAACTTTATCATCAGTTTTATCATTCTTCGTATTTTTGGACAAAACCGTACTCCCCAGGAATTTTTACCACCACTGGAACACCTCGTCGCTCATCCCCCCCCGCCGTGTACGTTTCACTCTCAATTTACAGCTCCCGAAACGTTATATACTTCATCGATCCATCTCGTGCACAGCCTTGCCACGTGGCTCTCTCCCTCGTGACTTCCATTCTGAGGCTAAATGTGTAACAGATCCGTTCTTTCCCTTCCGCTTCGAAATTATAGATCCGCCGGTCCTTGGTCTATCGCAGGCACCTATCTTTCTCATCTACTGCTCATGGTTACACCAAAAACTGGTTCACAAACGAGTTTTCCGCGTTCCTTTCTAGAACATTCTCTGTTTTATAAAATAATAATAATAATAATACAGTTTTCCCCGTCATCATTTCGGGTGATATAATGCAATGTCATCGTCGGCGTATAAACACCGTCGTGAAGAGAACGTGTCAGCAACGGTAGCAGCGGTGGCGGCGGCGGTCGAACTGTGTGCACTGTGTGGGCGTATAAACTCGGTCTCACATCATCTTTGTGCTGCTGAAATCGATTTGACCTGTAGCGCCCGCCGCTACCCCCTTCATCACGGCCGCCACGCCACGCACGCTCATCCACCATCCCCTACACCGCCGCCGCCGCCATCAACGCGCGTATACGATACTTTTGTTTCGAACATTCATCGTTCTCTTCGTTTCGCATTTCTTTAGTTTCACTGACTACCGCGACCGAGAGCTGTTAGTTTTTCATCAAAACATTTAATACGCATTCCGGGTAATTAACTCAAATCTTTACGCGTGTCGTTCGGCAACAACGTCACACATTACTATTATTGCCAGTGGCTAGTGATTTGTATGCAATAAAAAATTGTAAAATATGCAAAAATATGCATCTAAATGTTTAGAAGATAAACACAAAAATATAGTTGTAAAAAAAATATTTATTTATTGAAATACATCAGTGGTTAGCTGTTTGTCTTAATACAATATAACTGAGAAATAAAATAAAATTTACGTTCAACAAGAAAACCAATTTTTATATTTTAATCAGTTGCGCTAGAATTAAGTATTAATATTAAATTATAAATATCAATTACGAAATATACTATAAAACATTCGTTTTTCGCATTCTTATAATCGAAATAAGCAATAATATGCATTTCATCTAAAATATGCAAAAACATGCAAAATAAAAACACTACCATTTATCTCATCGTGAGATGATTCATGGACATTACTGACAAAATCAATAATCATAAATCGCAAAAAAAACATGCTGTTGCATACAAATCCTAGCCTTGATTATTACTATTATTATTGTTGTATACTAAGTCGACGTTTACGTATATTGTACATAATATATTGCGTATTTACGGGAGTGGACTTTTACGTGCATCTCTTTCGAACATATAAGTCTCTCATCACTTGTCCTGAAGCGACCGCGTTGGCGCTCCCGAGCCGTTGTACGTATAATACACATCGTTTTGCGATTCTTACCGTCGAGAGTTCATCAATTTCTAAAATCCCATCGAAGACTCAGGAAAATTGGAAAAAATAACCGACTATCGGTCGGCGGTTATAAGCAATTATCGATACAAAATATCGTCGACAAACGCAAATGTATTCTCTGATTCGCTCTGATCCCATGCATTCGCCGGACACGGTTCCGTGATCATGGTGATCATAATGTACACCATACATACTGAGTATTATATACTTTTCGATTTACACTGTTTGCCAAATTACCAATAACTGCATAATAACGACGATGTGCAATGTGTTAATATATTCGAGTAATACATTTGAAACGTTTATACTCTTCGTTGACGTGAACGGTTCATCGCCAATCAAAAATCGGCCACTGCAAATCGTTTGATTTATTTAAGTCGACTATAATATAAAATCTTTTACATACTTGTAGTTCGATTATAATAGTATTTAATAATTTATTGGATATTTATAAGAATTACGAATTATGTGTTCCAAAAAAAAAAACTAATTATTAAATAACAGTTTTAGAATTCAAGATAGTGCCTAAATATTATTGATAATTTTATTAGATTGCGTTTTTCTTGAAACAATATGGAATAGTTGTTGTCTTTTTACTAAAATCACTATATGCCTGGATTATATTAACGATTTATTACGCTGCAGGAGAGGGCGATTTCGTTTAAAATCGTCCTAGCAAATTTTATTGTTATAGAGTAGGGACATTATATCAGTTTTATCATGTCTATAGTTCGATGAATAAAATAATAACTATATACAACATGTATCAGATGACGTTGTAGCTTTTAGTAAAAAAAAAAAAATTTTATATCACATAACACTTCAAGTGTACGAAATTCTCTGGGTTTTGCGTAAACTTGACGAAAAAAGCATTTAGCATTGTAATTATTTTTCTACTAACTGTTTTCTACTATATTATATACGAACGGACAAAAGTAGAACATTTATATTTTTTTTTAATATAAGTTTTGTCCTTCATTATTTTGTAACTCAATAATTTCAAAAAATAAAAACATCGTCCGCACTTTTTTTTAATCTATCTTATATTTTATGTTTTAAAATACATATATTGACTTATTGAGTTCACAAAAATTAAACACGCAACCTACTTCATATTATTATCTATATTATAAAATGTTCATAATGTATGTGCTGCACGATTATAATAGTTCAATTGATGTAGAGAGATAAAAAGTTCTATATCGATTCATAATAAACGTGTAGTGCTTAACTGGGTATATGATGTATAAATAAAAAGGAAATTAAATAAAAATAAATAAAGTTCATAAATCTGAACAAAACATTTGAGAATAATTAATTTGGACATTACGCGCAAATCGAATTAGATGATGTATAATTGAAAAGACTCTTGACCAACACAATACGTTCACAACTGAATCTTAATATTTTTATATTATCATAAAGGTTAAAATTAATAATTCAAGGCTTCGTAAATCTTTTGAACAATTTCGTCGCTTACAAGTACTTGTATAATTTCAGTTCTTAGATTTATTGAAATTTTTTATTTAACTATCGACCGGAAAATATAAATCGGTGTTCATAATGCATAATATGGATACGACTCCCAATACTACTATTGTATAACGCACTGAGATATAACTTTACACACTCCACAATAATACTATTGTTATCAATACACATCTCTTTAAAAAGTGAATTTCAACATAAAGTATATATCTATATATTTGTTTTAATGTACCGAATTTCAGGTACGCCAATTGATGTCGGTGTCACCATGTACGTGCTGAGCATCAGCTCTTTGTCAGAAGTCAAAATGGTACACACAAAATATTAACACAACGCAAAACAATAATATTTGTTTTTTTTTTACATTTTGAATTTATTTTTATTTATTTTTTTTTTTTTTACCTTTCTGCCTAATTTCATTACACTTATATTACGCGTCATTCTATAGAAAACAGTAGTATCTATAAATTTCTTAAATGAGAGTTGCGTGTTTGGTAATAAAACATAATACAATATTATACATGTATACATATATGTATATTAATATATAGGTATATATGTATACATATTTGTTTATTTGTTTATTGAAAAAAAAAAATCTTTTTTTGCAATGCGAACTTCTTTCCGCTTTGTATTACGTATTCTCCGCTAGAAGCACGCTGTAGAACCGTCGAGCATTTGACCTAGGCATATAAGTAAAACAATCTATCGAAATAATTCTAAATCACATCCATCCGTTATCGATTTCTAGTGAAATCTTTGCGAAACACCGATCGAGACCCGAAACGTTGTGATGAGGAATCCAAACGCTGCAACGACATAATATTGCTTTTTAACACGTTTAGTTTACTCATTATAATATTATTGCTTTGACAAAGTATCATACAATATGGAGTTTGAGCATTTGAATAGATGGTAATTGTTATTACACGGTACACAACCATAGGAAATATATATTTGCAACTTTCGATGATTAATTTTTAACGGATCCCATGTTAATATGTGTATAGTATTAGTGCTTGACATTGCGATTGCCTTGTACGATAAAATACAGATATCACTTGTTTAAAATTCGTAGTTTAACGCAAATCCATTGTAAAAATTCTACACAGCAACGCACGAGAAAAAAATTTGTACGAAGAATAACATTTTTACATTTTAATATTATGATCAATTTATGACGTACGTATATGTCTGATTGTGGATACAAACCTATAAACTCCCTACGGTTTTGGTGAACTCTCGTGTTTCGCATTTATTTTTCAAGTACTTACACTAAATTTTACAACACAGGTACATCTAAAATATACACTTTATCCTACACACTTATCGA